TATGATAATATGTATAGACTACAAAATATCATAAAACTATGGCTTCCATTGATGGTCCTGGATAGACCCCCTTTTATAGGCTCCTATGTCATAGAATCTAGTAGATACATCGAGAAATTTGTCAGCATGTTTTTAAGTAGGGACCCCCCCACCAATGGGTTGTGTGGCCCATTATCCTTCTTCAAACAGGGGATCTCCCTAGTCTACACATCCCACTGAAAGAGATCAAGAGATCAAGAGATCTGAGCCATTTCCGTCTACTTTCCGGGAGGCGAGCCATTTGCGTCTTTTTTTATATACAATTATATAAAGTAAAACATGAATTTTGAATTACAGATAGACTATAAAAGAACTCTATACTATATGGATCTATACGGTTTTCATTCATTCAATCCTTTTGTTCCTTCCCAACCGTCTCGCCCCGTCTCTCCCAGGATACCGTTGGTCTCGGAGAGCCATGCGCCTCGGTGGGAGCTGGTCTCGTGTCGAGGAGTCCATGTCACACAGCCTAACTGTTGATTACTTTACTCAAAGTCCACTCTAGTAAGGTTCACTTTACTTTGCTCAAAGTCCCCTTTGGGTTCCAAATCCTGGTAGTCTTTAAAGGTGGCCGGTTCTTTGGGACACTGTGTGTACTGCATTTGGCGGACCTTGCTCGCATGTCCAGAAGGGTGCATTCATGCATGCAGCCTGTAGGGAATGTACCATTGCTAGCACTCCAGGATTTCTATGACCTTGCGCCCACTCTGTAACAGCCAGAAAACATGCTTTATAACATCTTTTGAGCAAAGGCTCCAACCTGGACACTCCAGTCGCTTGGTGCTTCCTAGTGCACCAAAGATATCCAAAGAGATATAGGCGGGTTCCAACATTTCACAGCAGTCCTTCGACAAAATCGTTCAAGCTCAGATGGGACGCCCCATCCTCTGATGGGGTCCCTCCATCGCCTTCCCTCCGGGACGCCCCCGCGTCCGGCCGGGACGCTTCATCCGCTCACGTCTCGTCGTCGTCCAGGTGGGGCGACCTCTGGCGCTTTCCGAAGCGCATCGCCCGCCCAGAGGCGCGGTCGACCTGCCGGCGGAATGGTCGGGGTTACAACGGTCGGGCGACCGCGAGCCGGCTGTCAAGATGATGCAGTGAGCGAAGGTGGGGTTTGGGTCAAGGAAAGACCATGATTCTGTAAGGTTCTATCTTTTTCTAAGGGTCTATCGGCTTAGGTTGCCCCCTGCAACTTGGAATTGTCCATGGGTGGATGACTACGCTAAGCTAAGCTTGAGGAGCTGTCAATCAAGATGGACTTGAGCAGTAGAGAAGGCCACTTAGTACATGAAGCCCAGCCTTTGGAGGTGAAGACCAAGCCGGAGACCAAGCCGATCTCTCGAAACCGTTTCTTCGGGGCGGTCGGGAGACGGTCCTTCCTGCGCATGGCTTCCTCGCTCACCGGTCTCCCCTTGTAAAGGGAATGGACACAGAGACAGGGGGAGAGGAGAAAAGTGCAAAAAAAGTAGCTGGTTAATTTTTACTTCTTAGTTATTTTCCTGGTCATATTCCTTCAGTTCCTGGCTTTCCTTGATGTTTGAAGTCTGTTTGAAGGACATTTTGAAAAGTCAAGTTTTCATTGAACACATTAAAATTTGCACGCGCGCACACACACATAACAGACACCGACTTTTTTGCAGTGGAGGCAGGGACATGTGTGGTTAGCTGGGAAACGACAAGAGACTGTATACTGAGTTCCAAACATTGAACAACGACAAAGAGTTAAAAAACGATAAGGCTAAAAGTGGTCATACAAAATGTATAGGTTTTTGTTGTTTAAATACATCAGGTGAAGAGGGTCCAAGGAGATTCATCCTTTGGTGTTCCATGTACCTTGATCCTCAAAATACCTCGGAAAATGGGTACAAATACCTGTTTGGATGGGGTCATGTCTGGTCATGTCACATGTCCCATTTTCGAAGGTACTTTGGAGAGTCCAGGTACTTGGTTTTCTGTGGTGAGAGAAGGCTTCTCATCCACCACCAACCTCGGATCGACCAGGATCTCGCATCAACGCAGTCACTTAGTAATCCCAGAGACTTTGAACTCACTTGAGAAGCAAAACAGCATGATTTGAAATCACTCACACGATGCCTCTAGAATGCCTTTGATTCCAAGTCGCACGGACCGTTTTTCGTGCATTTTCTTTCGGACATTTGAAGCCTCGCAGGCACGGCTCTACATCCCTGACAAGGCCCGAGAGCATTTGGAGCCTTAGCGGAAAGTGAGAGACCGAGCTGAACGGGGACCGCGTGCCTTCAAGCAAGAAACAAAGTCAGGGGTTTTTGGCGGTCGTTCAGAGCCCCAAGAGCTACAGTACCCCCCCCCCTCACCGAACGTGAAGACCCTCCAAGCAGGAACCAAAGCGAAGGTGGACACTGAGGGAGTTTCATCACGCCCGTGACACCCAGGGCTGAAAGCTTCCGCTCTGGTCGAAATCGATTTTAACCCCCCACGGGTGCAGTTCGGAGGGCCAAGAGATGACACGGAGAGAGTTCTCGGCGCAGGTCCCAGTCCGAATGAACATAATATAACTTCAACTGGGTGTACCCAGTTTTCTCGACAGTGTCGGTCTGTTTAGGCCTGGAGGAGCTGACAAAGATGCGCGCTCCGATGGTCATATCAAGTGTTTGCCATTTGATTGTGGTCATCAACGCTGCATGGCCTTTGATGTGACCGTGGTCCCACAAAATGTAGGACCTATGACCTAGGAAGACCTATTAGAACCTGATTCCTACTATGGTGTTTCCCAAGCATTTCAGTGCCGCTCGGTACTCGTACCAGCCAAACGGAGGTTTTCCTTGTGCTCTTCGCCAGCGCCCAAACCCATGCGCAAGCGCACGTGCAAACCCGTGCACTCAGGACCGCTTGGCCAAGCGTGCCTGGAAGGCGCTCAAGTGGGAGGAAAATGAGCCAGGCTTCGAACAAGAGAAGGAACGAGATCAGCAGTTCTATGGATCTTAGGATTTCTTCGCGATGGCCGGCAAACTCAAGTCACCGCTGGCCAAGATGAAAGGGGAGAACGTGGCTAGGAAAGCCTTGTGTTGACTGCCCGACCCACAGGCTTCAAAGCCTTTGTTTGTCCCAGGAGGATTTGGAGTGTGGGTAACTACCAATACTTGAGGTTCGAACCATGCCCAAACATTCGGAGAATCCTTCACTTCGAAGACCATAAGACATGAGGACCAGGAAAACGGCACGACCGGAAAATCAGCACTGCTAGACTGCTAGACAAATCATTGTGTCTAAAGACTTCTGGTAGCTCCTTGTTCCTAGTAGTAATGCCAGGAGCTACTAGTAGCGTCCTTGTTCCTAGTAGCGATGCCCTTGTTACTAGTAGCTTCTTGTTCAAAAAAACAGACGACTCCAGTGTTGGGGCACCGGAGAAGTGATCTCTGCTATGTAGCTTGCTACATAGAACGAGTACACCCCGTAACTGAACATTAGAACCATCTCCGGAGGAAGAAACCAAAAAAAAGTTACCTTGGTGTGTCCTCTCTTTTGGGAGATTTTGGCACCTCTCTGAAATTCAAGATCTTGGACACTCAAGATTGCTCATTCTTCACCACAGGTGTTTTCTTCAACAACCGTTCCTTTTTGTTTGGGGATTGCAGAGTTTTGAGTCATAGCCCTTGGTCACGTATGCGTGTGTATGTAATGAAGGACCAAGGCTTCAACTGCCTGGGAAGGTGCTTTCTCAACTGACAATGGTGAACCGGAACTTCGCATTCCAAGGGAGACGGTCGATGGGCCCTTCCGGAGTGAACCAACTTGGCTTTCCAATGCCTTCCAGCCGTTTTTCCCCTGGTCGACCCCTCCTGGATGCCACGAGCCAAAGTCGCTCGCTGCGAAGAACGACAAAAGATCTGCCACTGCCGGGGACGGCGGGCGGGGTCGGGCGGAGTGTAGGAGTCTCACACACACACATGAGGACTGGTGTTGCATCGTATGGTGAGGACTGGAGATAGGTTGGGGGTTCTTACTTTGTGTTTTGTGAACCTGTCGGGGAGTTCATCTTATGAGAAAACACACTTGTAGCCTGCAGCCCGTCCAAATGGTAGTTCCACCATGACAGTGAGGAGCTGGGGCAAGTGACTTCCAGATTTTTTGCAGGAAGAGGCCCAGCGCTCTCAAGTTGGTGCAGAGAGGCAGAGAGTCAACTGGTCCCCGACTTTTTCTTGATGCAAAGTTCAAAGCTTTCTTTGACGGTTGACGTATCAGTTGGTAGATATCCGTTAATTATCGGTTGGTTGAGCAATGGAGAGGATACCCTCAAGTTACAACCAATAGGATCCAATAGGTATATTGTACCTGACACTGACCCCTTTGTTTTTCCCTGTCCAGGACATCATTGGCAAACCTGGGAAGAGGTGGAAGAAAGATTGAAGAACGATTGAAGACAGATTTTCCTTTTATCATCTTTTATATCTAACACCTTCCAACCAACACACATGCTGAAAGGAGTCTCAACTGACCAGGGAAGAAGACGCTAGGGTATCAGTTCATGTTTACACCCTCTATCCCAGCATGGTCCATCATGTATTGTTTCGAGTGGCCAACCATGGGTATCAAGGGAAAAGAATCCAACATGTCCACCGAGGCCTCGAGAGACACGCGGAGACACGCGGAGCGGAAACCTGCTGGAACGCGGCGCCGGTGAGAAAAAGAGGGCAGTTGCCTCGGGGGTGGGTTGCCGGACCAGCATCTTCGGTCTGAGATCTGAGGTGAGAGTCAAGCAACCCGATGTTGGAGAGTCATGTTGGATCACCTGCCCAAGCACTTTTTGGGGATGGGTTCCCCCACGACAGACAACGATTACACTCCCTACTCACTGGGAACTAACATGGAAGCGCAAAACCTATTGTAGGGAAAATGGTCTTCCAAGGGTCCAGGCCATCCACTCCGTGTTAGTTCCAGGGAGTGTCACCTTCGTTTTCGGGCGAACTCGTGGGCTTCGCCAGGAACCCCGAGGCGGTGCAGGAGCATCTGTGCAAGTGCTTCGATGCCATCTCACGTGTGACCTTCACCGAGGAGACCCGGGGAACGTCGCAGTTCGGTGGCCGAAACGGTGCGCCGATCCGGTGGGCCGATCTGAAGGGCCAGTCTTTTCACGTGTGAAAGAAGGACCTCTGGACCGGACCTGTAAGAATCATGAATCTACGACCTCAAAAGCCAAGGCTGGAACTCCAGCTAGAGCCGTTCAGGGTTCAACAGCCGATGTTTGAGGAGGTTTGGTGCATCGGTGATTTCTTCGATCTGTGACTGATGTGAGCTGCCAGGTCTGTTTGGAAAGGGAACACATGGGAACGCTCAAAGAATGGACGGAACGCATCCAGTTGACATTTTTGCAACCAATCTAGCATGCAGATTTGCTTAAGACAAGCTAACACACACACATCTTCGCCAGAAATGCTAGCAGCTAGCACCCCGTGTGCTTCTTTGGATTGTTCACGAATGCATCATAGAAAGTAGTTGCCAGACAGTCAGTTTATGTGTTCGGCGTTTCACCATTTCTTTGGCCTCTGACGAACCAATCGGGACTCTGCTGACATGAACGAAATGTGAGAGGAAAAGAAGAAGGACATCATCGACATGAACGACATGATTAAGGAGAAGGCAGCTCGGTGTAGCTTTGTACAGATTCCGAGGTTGAGGTACGCGAACGTGAATGGGTACGTCAGTGCTAGCAGGCGTAGCAGGGACTTGTGGCATTTTTCACAGGTCCACTTCGTACCAAATATATACATCCAAATAACAACCTTGAGGCGTGACTCACATGGCCCTAAAAACATCATTGCTTTGGGATGCTTCCGTTTTTCATTCAGGCACGAAGCTTAGAAGGCTTAGAAGCTCGTTAAGCGCGCAGCGCTTTCGTCGAGCTATTTGGAGGGGTTGGTGATCTTCAGATGGCAACCCCACCCAGACTGAAGAAGTGCTCAGTCTTAGACCTGGAGAAGTTGAGATCTCGAGCTCGTCTTGGTAGCCCAGACCTCCACACATGCTTGGGGGCGCATGAAGCGCCCTCCTTCGTGGACCACCTGCGACACCTGGGCGACGACCTCAAGCACAGCCTTCGAAGCCTTCGCTTTAAGGTTCAAGCACATCTATCATTGGTCTATATAATTCACTCGCACAACTTGACGGTGCGTTTTCGGCCCAAATGTTTAGGCTACTGGCACGTCCCACAGCTGCATGAAGTGTCAAGAAAAGTGTAAAAGTGTCCTTGCTCCTATTATATAGTCGCTTCTGCCCTTTGTTCCGTTCGTAGCGTCCTTTCTCCGTAAGGCCAGGAGCTCCGACGAAACGTTGGCGGCCAGGAGTTCCCCAAAACGTCGATTCGGCGACGCCAGGTACCCTTCACAAACCCCGTGCCCACCTTCGGCTCCCCCGTGGAGAAGTGGCTCGGACCCCCGGTTCGAACAGGGTGAAGAAGGCACCTGGACCACACGGAGCAAGCGCAGCAAGCGGCACGGAGTTCCCATGGTTTTCTTGAAGATCAAGGCGCATGTTTTTTTGACTAGAAGAGCAAGAAGATGGAGAAGCAAGAAAAAGGACCACATATCACCAGTGGGTAGATGAAGGCACATTTATCTCATGTCGCTTATTGTACTTGAAGCTCTTGCAGGTTGCTAAGAGAAATGGCCATTTCCATGGCCTCTGTTTGGATGGGAATTCGTCTCTTCAGACCGTTGGACAGACGGGACAGATGCAGTGCGAGCGACACGTCGTCGCAGCGAGCTCTGCGCAGGTTGGGGGACATCGAACTGCGCATGGTCGAGAGCTTGCATGCCTTGACCAAGGCCCTGGGGGTTTGGCCCGCAAAGGTTCCGCGTGCGTACTTTTCGGGCGGACATGAAAAAAGAAACAGATCGGTACGGAGTCCTGAATAAGTTCATTTTCTGTACATGGGGGGTTTGGCATGTCCCACAGTCGTTGGGGATGGGTTAGTCCTGATGTGGCATCCAATATATGATTCGATGTCCTGAGAATCCTCGTTACCTGTAAGAGTCAGGTTTCACAAGCAAATCACTTTATTTGAACAAGGCTAGGGCCTTTACTAACCGGACCACCATCATCATCATCATCATCATCATCATCATCATCATCATCATCATCATCATC